GAGTGAAAAAAACAATTTCCCCATAGGGGATCAATAAAGTATATCTTCTTCATACTTTGTCCAACAAGTGAAAGTTAGCTGAAGTGAGCTTACATTGTGACATATTGTATATGTAGTTACAGGAGAGAGGTTGTTTGAACACTAATCCACCCTAGGTTTGTGTTGTGATGAGTCAGTGAGAGCAGTGAAGCTGGTGTTTTCCCACCTCTCCATGCAGGTGAGGGGCTCCTGGTCGAATGGCGGTCAGAGGCTGCATGTGAGAAGAACCAGTGTGTGGAGGTCGGAAAAACTCTGCTGATATTTACCCTCCAAGCCCCCATGAGAGCCGCATGTGAAAACTGACACCTGCTCTCTCATTGCACTTTCTCAGGATCCTGATTGTGTATGTGTTTGTTTCTATGACAGTAAATTTCTTTTTGTGCCTCTCATCTCGGTTTGTGTGACTGTGTGTTAGTGTAAAGCCCAGTGGGAAACTGAATACAAGAGGGCCCTACACCAGATAAACAGTGTCAGAGAGGGTTGATAGCAAACGCAGCTGGAAACGCGCAGAGACACCCTGAGAATGCTCTCTAATGCTTTTCTAAACATGTAAAAGATCACTTAGCTCCACTGTCACACTACTCTCATGTGTGCTTTAATCTTCTCCACTGGGAGCTCACATAACTTTTGTATGAAGATATGGCCCACGTGTTGTTATATTCCAGTGAATTATCTCAGAATGACACAAATCACAAGAGATTTGTTTTTGGCAGCTAGTATCAAGTCTCCCTTTATACATTTATTGCGGTAATCTCTGAAACATTTGCAGCAACTTTCTCCTCTGTCTGCATCTCGCTCTCACTCACGTGGTCTTTTTTTAGTTTATTGTACTTGTTTTAATCTCATTCATCATTGTCATCTGTGTTTGTGTCGAATACATTTTTTAAAAGTGCTTTGAAGATCGAAATATTTATAGCTCCAAACATTGGCATTGTCCATTTTTTGCATTCAGCAGCTACAAGTATAACCTAATTATAGTGTCTGGGGTCAGAGGTCACAGCTGGGTGCCCTGGGGACTTTTCATTAGAAAACGGAGGGAAGAGGCTGCAGGTGTCTAAAATGGACTTCTCTATCTATTGTGCCTAAACTCAGGATGTTCTCTGTCACTCTTGAATTTTAGATTTTGGGGCTTGTCTGTTTCTTTTTCCTTTAATAGTTAATTTTGGTCACTTCATACTTATTGTTTGTGCATTATTCATTGTGTTAAATAGACATTTTTACATTTACCAAAATAGAATCATCAATACTGATGGAATTAGTGACTGTTCATAGTATTACATACAGTATTTCAACTGTTAATACTTATGTACTTTTACTTAAATAAGATTTGTAATATGGGACTTTTACTAACAGTAATTGACTGAATTTCCATTGTACTATTTTTTTTTTAAATGGTGCCAAACAAAGGTCTGATTCAGCCCTGAAACTGTTGAGCAGTGCAGCTTTAGGTGCTGATTAAGACAGTAGCAGTAGATCCTTACTGCAGTATCCCTGCCAGCTCTCCTAATACATCTGCAGACATTCAATTTCCCTTGCAGCTTCTGTCACTCTCTTTTGTTCACTTAGTTTGTGTCAAACTTCCAGCCCACAATTTATTTCTTATTTATTTCTTTCTTTC